AGAGGATCTGGACTTCGCCGATGATATATGTCTGATTTTCCACAAATTGGAGGATATGCAAGTGAAAAGCAACAATTTGGCAGAAGAAGCATCAAAGGTAGGACTCCGAGTAAACATAGAGAAAAATGAGGTGATGAAGATTCATGGTCAACACCAACAGCAGCAACAACAACAGACAACAATAAGCCTAAATGGGAGGAACCTGAAAGAAACTACCTCCTTTACCTACCTGGGAAGCATCGTTTTAACTACAGGCGGAACTGACGAGGATATCAAAGCAAGGATCGGAAAAGCAAGACAAGCTTTCACTACTCTCAAGTCTGTGTGGAGGTCAACAGCACTCAGCATCAAAAATAAGATCCGGATTTTCAACTCCAATGTGAATTCAGTGCTACTTACTATACGGATCAGAGACTTGGTACGTCATAAAAAGCATCCCAAGCAAACTACAAACCTTCATTAATAGCTGTCTTCGCTCAATGCTCAATATCAGATGGCCGGCCAGAAGAGATCGGTAATAGGGATCTCTGTGAGCGAACCAACGCAGCAGGAACCGATTGTGCAAGAAATATGCAGGAAGGGATGGAAGTAGGTGGATTGGCCATACTCTGAGAAAACAAACCATCAAGTGACATCACTAGACAAGCCATTGCTCGAGTGGAACCCGAAAGGGAAGCGGCGAGTTGGTCGTCAGTGCGAGGGTGACTTGGAGGAGGTCATGTGAAGAGGAGATGAAAGCATGTGGGCAGACTTAGAGCCAGGTGAAAACGTTGGCAGAGAACCGAACGCAATGGAGACGCGCGGTTGAAGCCCTATGTTCCTCTGGGAGTTAAAGGAAATAATAATAATAAGGCAAACGGATTTATAACACTCGCCTGTGCTGCAGTTTTACGATCTCTATCTCTGCACTGGAATAAGTTCATCATGACCTGTGAATGCCGACTGGTGGATCATCATCAAAGAAGCTAGCAAAAACATTACATCAGCTTAAGTTGTTATGTTTAGAAAACGTCCCCAGATAAAGGAATTAAGGCGGAATAATACTACTCTGGAAAAAGTTCTTAACTTTTTTAACCAAACGTTCCAGGTTTTGAATCTCTCTTCATCTTATTGATCCTGGGTACCTAGTTAATATCACCACCCTGTATACAATGTAGCCTGTTAAGAGTGAGTTTCAACCAAGTGTGAATAATCATCAGTGGAGGTTTCCATGGTGAATCCACCTATTACATTATGAACTAAAACTTCTTGCGGAAGCCACCCAAATCATAAATTCCTCATTATTGGGCGATTACATGACATATGCTTCTTGTGAAGTGGCACCATCTGCTTTATCTGGTGGGTATTAGGAAATTTCAATAAATAGACCGAAATACTCCAACCAGCATGATTTCATGAAAATTAATCAATAATTTGCGTTTAACTCTTGAAGCTACCGCCTTCTCTTAATCCATCACATCGCTTAGATATCAGTATCAAGTAACTCAGTTGAAAAATATAGTGCCGCCAATAATATGTACGTCAGAAAAAAGGAATCTTTTTAATGCATAGTTCCATCTAAAAAGCGGCAAGAGTAAACAATAGATACTAAAGTCAAATGACATTGATTTGACTGATCAGATAGCTCAGCATTACAAATGGTTGCCAGTCATAATCCTCGTCGAAAATGTTTCCTTGATTTGGCTTTTGACTTCTCCGTGCAAAGTGTCTTGATAAGGTGGAATAAAATATCCATAAGTGAAGCGATAATGACTCTGAAAAAGTATTGTCGGGCTATCAATGGTTATACATTCAGATACAACCACTTTATATGAGGAAGTCTGTAAAAGTTGGTAATTCGTATATAATTGGTGATTTCTTTAGACCCTTTCTTCTCGGAATCAAAGCTCTCCTTTGGAAATATAATGCGTGTATGCAACCAGTATCTGCTACAGCTGGAAAAATGGGGAATACAATGGAATTTGATTGGTAGATGGTGACTAGCAGTGGAATCCAGCATACAGCGCATTTCGTCCTATTTGGGACTCGTCAGCCAGTGGATGCACCTGCATTTCCCAGTGAGTGATTATATTCCCACCGAGGCTCGAACCCAGTACCTATAGTTTCAAACGCCAAAGAGTTATCCACTAGACCACTTGGGCCACGAGAGCCACTGTCTCTTGTGCAACGGGTCATATTGATTTAATTGAATTTTAGATTTTCCAGTGTATTGATTGGAACCTGAGACCGAGCACTTCTGTCCAATCAATCGACGGGAAAATCTAAAATTCAATTTAAAGAAAGGGGGAATACAATGGTTTGATATGCCTATAACCACTTCTATGAGAATCTGGGACCTGTTTTTGCAGCATATTAGAGATATATATAACCTATATAATTCATTTTTATTACATATATCGTAGATACACTTGTTTGTAAATCAAGTGCCACTTTTCACCTAGAAGAATCTGATTGGCTGTTTCAAGGTCATCTTTGCTGTTGCCTAAAAGTATACGGAAAATATGACTCGTCATTAAACCACTATAGCAACTAACTACGACGCTACAGTTAGCGGGGTTACGCAATAAAGCCACTCATCTTTATTCATGATTGTATTTCACCCGGACAAACTATTCAAATACTTTTCACTTACATGTCACTGTTCACGCGCATTTCTCCCGTAGAATACTGAGAAATTTTCATCATTATGCTTCCTTCTGTGGCATGAAGAGACCCATCGACTGCTAAATCGGCCATAAAGGTTATCACAGGAGATACCTAAAAACGTGACTATCAACTCTGTCAGCACCAGACACTGTCTAACGAAGTGTACGATTATTTATTCATTTTCCTAATAGATGTGTAAAGTGTTGGTAGTGCCACACTTTACCAGCTCTTAATTAAAGTAATTTACCTATGTACTAAATAATTCAGAGTACTCTGCCGAACCTGTAAGTACTGATGATGGAAGGCAAATTACAAAGACTTAGTTATTTAGGAAATCTCACCTAGTGTGCAGTATATTTGAGTAAAATAAAAGGTAGCGACTATCCAAGGAAAAAAGATATAGAACTTATCTAACAGATATGGCTTTATCACAAATTCAAGGCATATGCATATTGAAAGCATTGTAGTGTACATTGAGCATTTGAACTTTTGTTTGAACGCACTCACCCACTTTTTGGCACTTCTTCCTCTTTCGATTCATGACTCTCCCCTGCCTTTTGGGTTCGCTCTCTCATTGTGCTTTCATTCAGCGCACTCTCCGAGCCTGCCACGGTCAAGGCAGTAGATAAGTGTATAACCTCTTATTTTTATCAAATTTCATTTGTGTAAAATATAACTCTGTTCCAGGCACACTTGCCATCTCGAGTCGTTTTACCTTGATTCAGCTAAGATCAGAAAGCGGTGAATAAGTTTTGTAAGGGTGGTTGTTTTAGGTCTACATTAAGCTAAGCGTAACCCTTACAGCATAACGAAAAAGTGCAAAATGGCTTTGGAGCCAGTTCTTGCAGGTACACATAACAACAAAGTTAAATGACTTCAAAATATAAATGTATTCTCTGTCTAAACCACCTGTTGTACTATATTTTCAATTTATTTGGTGGTTTTTTGACCCCAAAAGTTATGAGCGGGTGGTTTATGCAGTCTGCAAAATCACTTATTCCATCTGTCTCATTATTGATAAACTGTTACAACAGATACATAAATAAATAGAACCAAATGGAAACAAGTTGTATGCAAACTGTAATGGCCAGTATGACAATACGTCAACACGAAGGACTGATGTGAAATAAATGGACTTTAAATACAAACGGTGAGATGATCTGTAGGTGAAGCCTACAAAAATGTGTTATTCAAAAAGACTGGTGTGAATAGCACTAGTTCAGATCAAAACTACTTCACGAAAACTTATAAATAAGGGTAGATTTGACTTCGTTTTGAAGGAACACCAATGCTGATGTAGAAAGATCTGACCAAATCTTTTGAAACATGAACGGCAGAAAAGTTTAATTATCTAATAACTTTTTCACTAGCTTGGTGATCGTATCTTGTCGTCTCAGAACGGTTCTGGGTTTTCTGGCAGCCTGCAATACGAGTGGAAGCAGACATATAAGTTTATTTCTGAGGGAATACATGGTTTGTAGCAGAACAGGGGCACTGCTGTAGCTTAAAACTTTCGTTCAGTCGATTAAACCTCTAGATAGGTGAACAAACATTCTACAGAAAGTGACATTAAATGAGTTGAAAGGGGATCGAGAGAATGAGTGCCCAAAAGAATAGAAGGTAGGGCATGAGGATTGGATGTAAAACAGACAAGATCATGGGAACATAAGAAAGAAACTGACAAGGATAGAAGTAATAAAGAAATCAGAACATAACAGCGAAGTATGTAAGAATACGTGGGATATTTCTGATGACATTGCAGCCCTTTAGAACTCGTTCACTTCCCGAATGGGTGAGCATAAACTAACTGCTTTCACCTAATGGTCTGACCTTCTCTTGAATTT